GAGAGGGAACACAAGCAGGGGGAGTTGGAGAGGGAGAAACAGGCCTCCTGCCGAGCAGGGAGCCTGACATGGGGCTCGATCCCAGGACCCTGTGATCATGACCTGAGCCGAAGGCAGACGCCAAACTACTGAGCCACCCAGGCACCCTATTTTGTATTTTTTTTTAAAGATTTTATTCATTTATTCATGAGAAACAGAGAAAAAGAGAGAGAAAGGCAGAGGCAGAGGAAGAAGCAGGCTCCCCCTGGAGCAGGGAGCCTGATGTGGAACTCAATCCCAGAACCCTGGGATCACAACCTGAGCCGAAGGCAGACGCTTAATGGACTGAGCCACCCAGGCACCCCAACTTTAAAAAAAAAATCTTAAAAAAAAAAGTTTGCTTAGATTCTCAGAACCCTATCATACCCAGATATTTCTCAAGGTAAATGGAATTTATTCAGAGTTTAAAGTTGCCCCCAGGAGAGCTGGAGAGGGTGAAGAGGGGAGGGTAACCGTGATGCCCACAAGGCAAAGCTGTAGACTGCGTCCCTTGGCTCCTGACTGCACTCACATAGAGAATTTTAATGTAAACCATGGCAGATTTTATCCCCATGGCATTCCTGAACAGAGGCACACATTGAAAGAAAGAGAATCTTAGTTTATATAAGGGTGTAGAGACACACAGCCCATTTGCTCTCTATTACTGCTCCTTCTGGCTTCCCTGCCTCCCCCCAGACCCAAACCGCCAGCATTTGATTTAAAGCAAGGCAACCGAAACCACAGTGACTTTCTGCTGTTTTTGAGAACAGGCCAAATGTCTGTGTGCTGTTCTGAAAAAAAAAAAAAACCAAAAACAAAAAAAGCTTTCAACAAAGCAGATCTCCTTCCCTCCTGCAGCCGGGGAAGTAACCGCCGTGAGCCTGCTCTGGGGTGAGCACGCCTCCAGAGAAGACGCAACTCCAACTGGAGACTCACCTCTTTGGAATGTGGTGTCCCCCCCACGTGATGGCGATGCTGTATTTCCCTGGGGTGCTGGGGTAATACTCGAATGCGTAGACTCCATCCAGAAAGCCTTTCTGTTTCACCAGTTCCTCCAGACCCTCTGTGGGAAGAAAGCACACCATCCTTCCAAAGCAATTCCAGGCTCCCAACAAGAATCCAAAGGCAAGGACAGAAAGGCAGCAATATCCACAAGACATAAGCTGCACAGGGAAGCCAAGTGGGCTGCCTCAGAATGGGACACCCTCAAAACCTGGGAGATTAATCCAAGCCTAAAAATAGGCCCATCTCTGCTTCAAAGTGTGGGGGAAAAGGAAGATTTCCCAGCTAATCGGTTTTCGAAGGCTCTCTGAGAGGCTTATCTAGAGGCGGGGGCCAACAGGTCCTCGACCTCCTGGGTCTGTGTAAAGACAAACCTAGTCCTAAAAAAAAAAAAAAAAAAAAAAGACAAACCTAGTCCTATCTTAATTTTTCTTAACGATCATCGCTAGCTGTCTTAGCCTCTCACAAAACTGAGGAGGAACTGAGTCCTTATATGAGTATTTGGCATGGGTTTCAGCTTACTGTCCTGGCACATCTTTTTTTAAAGCTGGACAGCACAAGTGAGAAGGCTCCTACATGCTACCTACAAGAGGACAGGTTTTAGATGCTGTACCACAAACTCCAGACTGAGCCATCAGGTAGGAATTTGTTTTATGTTGACATAAAAGGGAAACCACTGGGAAAGCCACTTAGTCAAGCGAGAATCCAAGGTCAGAAAAAAACGCCTCCTTGGCTCCTGTAACAAGCCAGAGGGGAGGGCAGCCCCAGAGCAGCTTTTGGCTCCAGGTCCGGGCAGTGTAGAACCTTGGCCACCCTTCGAACACAGCCTTCCCCACAGCCTGGTGCTCTGAGATCAAATATTAACTTTCTGGAGCTCAGAGCACTCCCACCCCAGCCTGCTGGGGATACAGAGAGTGGGAGCAACACAGAGGCTGCGCACGTTCCCACAAGGCATGAACCCGCGGAGGGCTGCTACGTCTGCAGCCCGAAATGCAGGGGCAAACACGGACAGAGCACTCATCCTCGCGTCTGCGGTCTCCCTTCCCGAACGGGGAAGAAGAAGGAGTTGCAGAGTGCAACCCACCCCTCTGCGCACAGCATTTATCTACAAAGAAAACTTAATCTCAGGGAATTTTATTTTCCTTCTATAAGCACTGATCATAGTAATTAGGTACTTGGCATAATTTCATAGTCTATAAAATGTAACCTGTAGTGGGAAAATTACTGGCTTTGGAGACGGTGCTTGAATTCCAGCTCAGATGCTTACAAGCTGTGTGACCTTGGGCAAGACCCTTCTTCTCGAGCCCATGTTTCCTCAAATAAAAAGTAAGCCACTTCAGGTTGTCCCTCCAAGGACAGCACTTTCCAAACTCCACTACATCACTGCTTTTTCTATTCCCAGAAGCCTTAATATGGGAGGCTGTCAGGCCACCACTGGTCCCACTGCACCCAGGGCAGACATAACTAATCACTGCCTCCTTCCCCATGGAGCCCAGATAGCCTCAACTCTTTGATACCGCTCTCTCTGGGATCGATCAAAACGGGCTGGGGGATGAAATCCATACGCCATGGCTGCAAAGCCGGCCCAAGTCACACCTGAGATGGAGAAACAAAGGAGCACTTACTAGGACCCTTCACAGTGACACCAAGTTCCCCGCTTCCAGCAGCTTTGGTATCAACCTTGAAGTCTGCAGTCTCCCGGATGCGGATGCCTTTGGGCTGCAGGCCCCGGCCACTGGCCCGGCAGGCGTTTGGACTACAGGCTGCAAACACAGTTTTGACATCAATTCAACCTTTCATTCGTTAGAGTTGAGCAAGCCAAGGTAACTTGGAGCCACCCGCCAAGAAAATGTTTGTTCTGCACAGAGCCTGCAGCAGCTGCCCGAGGCTAGGGGTCCTGCTCAGGGAGCACACCAGGCTAGCAAATAAGGACACAACATAACTTTGTCCGGCCACACCGCAGAGGGACCGGGGTGGGGGAGGAAGTGGGGGGTTACTTTGGCAAAGAAAGAAGGGGAAGCACAGCCTGCATTCGCTGTGCTCCTGGAACCTGCTGAATCCTGGCGTTTATCCTCTTGGTGGTGAAGGAGAGTTGAATCTCATTGCCACACTCAAGGGCCCAGTAATTGGAAAGACCGAACTTCTTCAAGTCTACTTGGAAAATGTAGCACTTGAAAACATCTGACCATGTTCCAAACTTTGGATCGGCCATTTCTAAAAGTCGAAATGTGATCGTCTTCCACATGAAGAGCCAGGGGATAGCTCAAAAAAGAAACCAGTTCAACCCCAACTCGGCCAAAGCAGACAAACATTTTAGTGCTGTCAGCAGGTAATCGGAATGTGGGTGGCTATAAATGCAACAATTAGCAATAAACACCACTCTCCATTTGATTTCTGGATCTAGTTTAAAAACCTAAAGTCAGAAGTCTAAAAATTAAGGACCAAAGTAGCTTCTAGTAATTTCTTACATGAGAGGTCCACAAAACTACCGTTCCATGGGGGTCATCAGAAGGTTGATAAAACACATCCTCGTACCCTAGGAATTCTTTGCCAACACAGGGGACCTTTTTGAGTATAGAAGTGAGAGAGCAGTGGGCAAAATGTCATGCATGTTGTTTACTAAGTAGCTTTTCCTTTCCAAATCTAACACCGCACATTTGAGTTTTCTCTATGCCAGGAGTGGGATCACAGACTCCAGAGGATGAAACTCTTTACTCCATAGAAAGAAGATAATGCCTCCTCTGGTCCCTCCTCCCTGCAATGTCCTCAGCTGGCTATTTGGCAGACAACTGCTTCTGGAAGGACATACCCACACTCTAGGAGTTAGAGAGGATTTTAGGTGGTTCGTGGATGAACCTAAGTTTATGGCCACATTTCATGGCAAGTGACATTGGTTTTCCATTGTGAAAGGGGGATGAAGATTCTTTTTAATATAAAATCAGTTAAGTAGTGGAAGTACATCAAAAGAAAAACCCTATCAATTAAACTCTAAATAGTACAAGTGATGGATAGACACATGAGAGATAAGCATTGTCCATGAGTGAGAGGAAGTCAGAGAACAGTATTAGAACAGGAAAGCTGTTAAAAATGCTTTCTTGCCTTATGTCAAAGAGAGTTTTGTTTATGAATATGTTGGTTTTATTTTTTTTTTGTCAAAAGGAGAAAAGTTGGTCATACCAGAAATAAGTCACAACAGGATGACAGGACTTCCCGCGGAGGGTTTTAATGTGCCTTAAAAAAAAAAAAACAACCCCAACACTCATGGAAATTCTGAACACGGGTAATAGTCTCAACATCAAAAGGGTAACTGCTCAGTTCATATAAACACTAAATGGAACTAAAGGAAACCACCAGATCCTCCACCATTTTGAGTTGTTTTACACAGGTTTCAATGCAATTAGAGAGTGGGTTTGGGGTCTTGCTGGACAAGTGATGCTGATGCCCATACTGTCATGTCCCGAGGTCACCAACAGCACGGGCCCAGCTGACGTGTGCGGGAAGCACAGAGAACGGGCACGGAAGTCCCACTCAACCAGCCCTTACCCAGCGAGGTGCCTCTGGCCCAGTGCTCTCAGTTAGGAAGCCAACAGCTTCGGGGTCCAGGCTGACCCAGAGGCAGGATTCAGAAGAGGAAGCCAGCTCTACAGACGCAGAGGCAGAGGACAGAACAGGGAAAGGCAAGTACTGGTTAGAAAAGGCAGCAGAGTTGGAAAACAAAACAAAACAAAAAGAACCACCAAGTCTGAAGGAAAAGGAGCCTAACATTAGAGAAAAATGCATGCTCTGGCTGCAGAAGGGGTTTAGCAGCAGGGTTAAGGGATTGACAGAGACCTGGGTTCTCCTTCTACGGATGCCTAGTCTGTGCTCACTGATGCCTTAACGTCACCTAAGTCTCGGTGTCTCCACCTGCAAGCTGGAGATAACACCAGCGCCTGGAACACACCGGCTGGTGTGATGAGCAGATGCCGTGGTGCCGAGTGTGTGGTGACCAGTAAAGGCCAAGCAGTGGGGGCCACGGGGCAGTGCCACACCTGCTAACCTCAGCCACGGGCACCAACGGCCCACACGGCCTCAGTCCTGCATCTCTCAGTGAGGACAACTCTCCTGTGTGAGTGTTTTGGGAAGGATTCAATGAGTTAATACAAGTGAAGCACTCAGGTCATTGCTCGGCTCACAGGAAGATGTTAATATGAGTATCTTGAGGACACAGCAAGCCGCTTCCCACCGAAGGGGCCCTGGCAGGAAGGGGACAGGCACGAGTCCAGCGTGGCCCCCACTCTTCTCCTGGCCTCGGAGCCCAGCTGTGCGCACAGTCACCCTAAAGGCCAGAAGCAGGTATAGCTGGCCACCCCAGCACTCACCTTCCCCAACCTGCACGACGAAGGGACTCTTGGGAATGGTGTCCCCCGCAAAGGAGACCTTGACCACATGGGGGCCGGGCTGCAGTGGTTTGTACACACATCGATACACCTGGTTTCCTTTATCTTCCACCAGCAATTCCACAGTGTTCTTCCCCTGGGGATCCTCCACCTCAACACCAATGTCACCCACACCAGCACCTGGAAGAGAGCAAGCACTCCAGGAGCCCAGGTCATCTTCTCAGAACACTCCCTGCGGATGAGCGCAGGCGCGAAGTGTAGATGGAAGGAGACAGGCGCTCAGAAAGTCCACACCGAGATGCTAACAACTGTTTTCTGGTTGGGCTAGGAGGGTCATAAACTTTCCTTTTTTCCTCCCATTCTCTATTTTTAAAATTTTATACATTGAAAAGAAAGATGACATTTCATGAACTGTATCATTAAAAAGAAAAAAAAATTTTTTAAACTGTGTCTTATCATTCCTCCCTGCACCCCCGGACCTGGCATAGAATTTGGTCTAGTAAAGCTTCTTTTTTTTAAAATTTTACTTATTTATTAGAGAGCGAGAGAGAGAGAGCATGAGCGGGGGGGGGCTGAGGAAGAGGGAGAGGCAGGCCCCCCACTGAGAAGGGAGCCTGACATGGGGCTCGATCCCAGGACCCTAGTATCATGACCTGTGCTGAAGGCAGACGCTTAACTGACTGAGCCACCCAGGCACTCCTAGTAGATGATTCTTAAAACTTAGTTTCTTTGGAACAGTTATTTAGCCAAGGCAGAAATATGTACAGAAATTGACTAATTATTAATAATCAAAGTCAAGCTTGAGTGTAAGATCTTAAAGAAAAGCTGGCTTGGAGGGCACCTGGGTGGCTCAGTTGGTTAAGCATCTGCATTCGGTTCAGGTCATGATCCCAGGGTCCTGGGATCGAGCCCCACGGCAGACTCTCTGCTCAGCGGGGGGCCTGCTTCTCCCTCTCCCTCTGCCTGCTTGTGCTCTCTCTGTCAAATAAATAAATAAAATCTTTAAAAAAAAAAAGAAAAAAGCTGGTTTGGAAAAATCTGTAAATAACTAACACACTTGAAAAAGGGTACTTTTGTTGGCGGTGGTTTGATTTAAAAGACAAAAGGTCAGGCATCCCAAGCCTTGGGGTGCCCGAGGATTATCTCAGGCTCTGGAAGAAAGCCTGATCCACAATACCTGCTGTGTAGATGTCAAAGTAGGTGGGCTTATTGGCGATGTTTCCGGCAGCTTCCAAGCCTGGGCCTTTTGCAGTAACTTTACCGGCATCTCCCTGTGCTTTGTCGACATTCACTTCAAAAGGGCTCTTGGAGATGTGCTGTCCTGCAAAGAGGACTGTAACCTACGAGTGACAGACAGATGGGATATAATCACTGCTCCCTGCCCAGGGAGCGCCCATGTCAAGCCACATGCATTTGCAATCTCCTCTTCCATCCTCCTAACTATCCATACAAGGGTAGCTGGAACCAGGAGCCCCGGTTAAGTGGCCTGAGTGGGATTCCTACCTGGCTCCATCTACCACATGGCTGGGCCTCGGACAACATGCCTTTAGCGAACTAAAAATGTTTACATTGGATAAGAGTGGCCTCTTTAATAGGAGGCGAACCAATACTTCTACTTCAATCTGTAGACATTGGACCCTTTAAGGCATCTGCAGAAGGGGCCATGGTCCCCCCAGAATATAAGGCACAGTTCCAGGATTTCAAACCTACAGTCAAAATGTTTTTCAAGGGACCAAGATCACTCATGTGAGATACAGTATAGATTTTCATCTAAGATTTGAGTCAGTTCTCATCTTTTAAATTTTAAGGGGTATGAAGTTGATTTCATATGAATTGAATAAATTAATTACATCATAAATGCTCCCTTCAGGATTTTTTCCCCCCAAATTCCTGATGTCCTAAGGGTATAAGAAAAATCGATAGCCATGATGCCACGTGAATTCACTGAAGGCCAAGGTAGTAAGTATGGTCTATGTCTCAAAATTTTGGCATGGTACACAGGGATTGACCTGTGTGTGCTGTTGAAGGCTTTCTTTTAAGGAAAGACACACTCCTGGATCACCCTACTCTCTTTAAGACTCTCTGGGTCCCTGTCCTATAGGCCAACTAGACACCCACTCAAACAGAACTCAAAATGTTGCTGAGACAAAAGGCCTGCGGGCTAGACCCCCACCATTTCTCCAGGTACATGACTGGGCCACTGGACTATATTCAACTGGCCCTCTCCACACTCAGGCTTCAATACAGATAGACCCTCCAGAGCACCCGAAAGGGGAATACTTAAGGAAGCACTGAAGACAAAGAACCCATAGCATCTATACTCCAGGCACGTAGCTACAACCATTTGTTACCCAGATGGAGTTAAAAACAATCTTACATTGCAAAGAACTGAGTAGAATTCAACCTTCCTAAGATACCCTCTTACACACATACTGATGCAAGCCCAGAAGAGCAGTCCAAGCAATAGCCATGAAACCTCATCTTACTTTGTGCAACCCGGTGACCTTGGGCAGATACTCCACAGAGTATGTCTTGTTCTTGTCGCTGTCGGGGGTCACTTGTGCCTAGGACAGAAAATGAGCAATAGTCAGAGAAGGTGCTGGGTGTGAGTAAAAGTACGCCATGCCAGCCAAGGCCCTGAAGTGAGCTGCCAGGTCAGGCACCTGTCCTGGCTATTTCCTGCCCCACCACTGCTGAAGGATGCCCCAGGAAAGCAGCAGCCAAAAGTCACAGAAACAAAGTCACGTGGCAAGAATGTATAACCAAGTCACAACTCCCTACTGTCCCAGGGTTGGAACTTGGTAGATGAGAGGGACCATAAAGCAAGTCACTTCAACCTTTAGTGGCTCAGTAATTATTAAGAGCTTATGGAATGCCAGGCCCAGTGTCAGGTACCAAATATAAAACAAATCAGGCATAATCACTGCCCCAGTGGGAGAAACAGACCATATGCCAGTAAACTTAGAATTTCAGATGGTGCTAAGCATTAGGAATAAAATCGAGTCTTAAGAAGGTAAGGAGCAGGACCGGCATGTGCAAAGGCCCTGAGGGAGGAACCAAAGATAGTCGGCCTGGGAAGAGAGTAAAGCATCAATTTTGTTATTATTCTTTTGGCCATCAGCATCTAAAACCTCAATTCACAAGGCCTTTGCTAAATCCAAAGTATCCTTTATTTTATTAAACATTGTAAAAAACAACAACAACAAAAAACATTGTGTCCTTGGGTATCAATTTCTATTACCTTTCAAGGCCCAGCCCTTGGGCAATTACTTTGACTGCTCTAAGCCTCAGGATTCTTTTGATAAAAAACAATTTTTGTTCTGAGCTTTAAAATGAGGAAAATGGAAAGCACAGTCTCTGGACCTGTCACAAGCCCCAAAAGCTCCATGGAATGGCAGCACCTTCCAACCTACCTCTTCTTTGTTCCCTTCGGGATCCTCAACAAACACCATCACCTCTCCTTGCCCAGCACTTATGGTGTCCACAGTGAACTTGGCTGGCTGCTTCACCATGTTTCCTGTAGGCTCAATTCCTGTCAGGTTTACACAAGCACATTACAAGCTGGGCAAGGACTTGACATAGAGACCATCACCCACCATGTTTCCTTCAGGGAACTAAGAAATGGGACCCAGCCCTGGGCGCCTGGGTGGCTCAGTTGGTTGAGCGACTGCCTTCAGCTCAGGTCATGATCCTGGAGTCCCTGGATCGAGTCCCACATCGGGCTCCCTGC